TCGTTAAATGGAAAGAGAGGGAGAGAAGTTGGAAAATGGGGGGAAGGGAAGAGAAGAAGAGAGAGACGGAAGGAAATCGTAAAATGGAAAGAGAGGGAGAGAAGGTTGGAAAATGAGGGGGAAGGGAAAGAGAAGAAGAGAGAGACGGAAGGGAAATAGTTAAATGGAAAGAGAGGGAGAGAAGGTTGGAAAATGAGGGGAAGGGAAAGAGAAGAAGAGAGAGACGGAAGGAAATCGTTAAAATGGAAAGAGAGGGAGAGAAGGTTGGAAAAAGGGGGGGAAGGAAAGAGAAGAAGAGAGAGAGACGGAAGGAAATCGTTAAATGGAAAGAGAGGGAGAGAGGTTGGAAAATGGGGGGAAGGAAAGAGAAGAAGAGAGAGACGGAAGGAAATCGTTAAATGGAAAGAGAGGGAGAGAAGTTGGAAAATGGGGGGAAGGAAAGAGAAGAAGAGAGAGACGAAAGAAAATCGTTAAATGGAAAGAGAGAAGGAAAGGCGGGGGGAGGGGGGAGGCAGAAGAAATATGGAATGGAGAGAGGAAAGGAAATCGTTAAATAGAGAGAGAAGGAGAGAGGAGATAGGGACCGGAAAAGAAATTGGAAAATGGGGGGAAGGGAGGAGAAGAGAAGAAGAGAGAGGAAAGGAAATTGTCAAATAGAGAGAGTGAAGGAAAGGGGGGGGGGGGGCGTAGGAAATATGGAATGGAGAGATGAAAGGAAATCGTTAAATGGAGAGTGAGGGAGAGAGGGAAAGAAATTGGAAAATGGGGGGAAGGGAAGAGAAAAAGATAAAGGAAAGGAAACTGTCCGATGGATAGAGAGAAGGAAAGGGGGGGGGGAGCAGAATAAATACGGAATGGAGAGAGGATTCTGGAACTAGAGATAAATTGAAAAATGGGAGTAAGGGAAAGAAAATGTTAAATGGAAAGAGAGAATTAAAGGGGGAAGGACAGATGAAATATGGAATGAAGAGAGGAAAGGAAATCGTTAAATGGAAAGAGAGAAAGGAGGAGGCGATAACAAATATAAAAGAAGAGAGGAAAGGAAAATGGGAAAAAGAGATAATATGAAAGAGGGTTAAAAAAAATAATGGGACAGGTTGTCGGAGAAAATGTAAAAGAAAAGAAGAGAGACGAAGGAAATGGATGGAAGGGGTTGATGAAGAAAATAAAAATTATAAAATTTAGACAGAGCACAAAGGGGAAATGTACAAAGGAAAGAGGGGAGGAGTATAATAAAAATCATTAGTGAATAAAGAGAAGTGAAAAGCCGTAACAAAGGGAAAAAGAAAGGATAGAAAGAGACAAGGATGCACACAGAAAAAAATGGAAGAAGGAACGTGACGGAAATAAAGATAGGCCAACTTAAGATAGGAAATTAGAAAGAACAGAAACGCAAGTACAAAAAAGGTAAAGAGGTGATAATCTCGCAGGTCAAGGAGCGACACTAAACGATAATCAATCAATCAGTCATTAACATCCCATGGACACACCTGGAATCACAGCAGGTAACGATTCTCTCTGACGAACCTCCACACAAGTAACGTCACGGGAAAGCAGCGATAAATTATTAAAATATTATGAACAAGACAAATGGGCGATAAAAAAAAACTCAAATGAAAAAAAAAAAAATCACATCAACTACTATTGCCATTAATTTTCAGTTGAACGTCGATACGATATCATCATAAAAGACTTTTCCACATGTACTTCACACGCAGACTCCTCCACGTGATTATCAGCTGATCATCACCAACGGACTTCTTCTCACGGGTAATACGAGCTCAGTCATAGAATCGGTTAATCATTACAAACGGACTCCTTCACAAAACCATTATAAACGGACTCCTCCACACGGTCATCACAAAAGCATTCCTTCGCGGGATCAGCTGATCATCTCGAACGGACTCCCCGACACACTGTTTACGAACGGACTCCTTTTTCTCGCCGTTTCTTTGACGTCCCTTCCGCAGAGGCACGTTCCTCCCCCACACCCAGCAAGAACGAGACTAGGGCGAAATCCCAATCCCGGCAGGCAAGGCGGTGGCGGCGAGGGGAGAGGGGCGGCGAGGGGCGAGGGGAGGCGAGGGGCGAGGGGAGGCGAGGGTCTGGCGCAGGTGTGCCCGAGAGAGGGAAAGAGAGAGGAAGAGGGAGACGGAGCAGGAGATGGGGAGGGAGAGGGATGGAAGAGGAGGGGGAGGGAGGGAGGGGAAAGAGAGAGAGAGAGAAGAGAGAGACGGAAGGAAATCGTTAAATGAAAGAGAGGGAGAGAAGTTGGAAAATGGGGGGAAGGAAAGAGAAGAAGAGAGAGACGAAAGAAAATCGTTAAATGGAAAGAGAGAAGGAAAGGCGGGGGAGGGGGGAGGCAGAAGAAATATGGAATGGAGAGAGGAAAGGAAATCGTTAAATGGAAAGAGAGGGAGAGAGGTTGGAAAATGGGGGGAAGGAAAGAGAAGAAGAGAGAGACGGAAGGAAATCGTTAAATGGAAAGAGAGGGAGAGAAGTTGGAAAATGGGGGGAAGGGAAGAGAAGAAGAGAGAGGAAAGGAAATTGTCAAATAGAGAGAGTGAAGGAAAGGGGGGGGGGGGGCGTAGGAAATATGGAATGGAGAGATGAAAGGAAATCGTTAAATGGAGAGTGAGGGAGAGAGGGAAAGAAATTGGAAAATGGGGGGAAGGGAAGAGAAAAAGATAAGGAAAGGAAACTGTCCGATGGATAGAGAGAAGGAAAGGGGGGGGGGCAGAATAAATACGGAATGGAGAGAGGATTCTGGAACTAGAGATAAATTGAAAAATGGGAGTAAGGGAAAAAAAATGTTAAATGGAAAGAGAGAATTAAAGGGGGAAGGACAGATGAAATATGGAACGAAGAGAGGAAAGGAAATCGTTAAATGGAAACAGAGAAAGGAGGAGGGGATAACAAATATAAAAGAAGAGAGGAAAGGAAAATGGGAAAAAGAGATAATATGAAAGAGGGTTAAAAAAAATAATGGACAGGTTTGAGTCGTAGAAAATGTAAAAGAAAAGAAGAGAGACGAAGGAAATGGATGGAAGGGGTTAATGAAGAAAATAAAAATTATAAAATTTAGACAGAGCACAAAGGGGAAATGTACAAAGGAAAGAGGGGAGGAGTATAATAAAAATCATTAGTGAATAAAGAGAAGTGAAAAGCCGTAACAAAGGGAAAAAGAAAGGAGAGAGAGATACAAGGATGCACACAGAAAAAATGGAAGAAGGAACGTGACGGAAATAAAGATAGGCCAACTTAAGATAGGAAATTAGAAAGAACAGAAACGCAAGTACAAAAAAGGTAAAGAGGTGATAATCTCGCAGGTCAAGGAGCGACACTAA